GGTCTGTCTCTTCTCTGCCTGGCTCCTGGCTCCCCATTTTCAGGTCCCCCTCCCCTCCAGCATCCCTGCCCCTGAGAGGCATTTGAGACCAGGCTGCACCCCAAAATCGGCTCATGACATCCCTCTCAGCCATGCTGGTCTTTCCCTCCAGCCCTGCGAAGGCTCGTGTCCTGCTGCGAACCCAAGGCCATCTGGGCTCCTGCAATGGCCGTGTTGGGTAATGGAATATGTTTTGCTGGGTTTTTTTTCCTTTGGCCGGTGCAGCTCCCCTTTATTTAGGTTTAAATGGATGCCATCTGGCTAACGAGCCCATACTCATGTTCTAGATTAAAAGGCAATCCTCCGCGCGTTACAGATACGGCGCTGGAGATTAGAGAGGTTTAAATGGTTTGGAAGGTGTAATTTGTTTTTCACGTATGGTGCTATTTACCTCCTGGCAAGTGGGCCAGCATCCCCATCGCCGTCCCCAGCAGCTCCCTCCTGGCTCTGGTCTCCTCCACCAGCCCCGGCCTCAGGAGGAGGAGAGCTCGGGTGTCTCTGAGCCTGGCAGGGCTGCACAGGGTGTCCTTGTGGTTGTTGCTGCCATTCGTCCACTCCCAGAGAGGCTCCTTGTTGCGAGGAGGATGTTCCCTGATTGCGAGGAGAATGTTCCCTGCTTGTCCCTAAAGCCCAGCATGTCTCCACCCACCGTCCTTCTCAGCTGTAGCCCCCTCCGCACCTCCCTGCACCCCAGCATCCCCTGGGACATGGCACAGCTCGCTGGGATGGAGCAGCCTCTGCCCCTCTCCCAGCCCAGAGAGACGGGGACTGACCGTGGTCCATCGGGGTGTCAATGGCAGGCAGCTGGGGCAGCACGCAGCACCCGTCGGTCACTGTGAAGACACCAATGAGGGTTATGCTGTCCCTGGCATGCCCAGAGATGATGATGCTGCTCCATCGGGCTGGTGGACAGCACAGTGCTCGGTGCCGCACCAGAGCAGCAGCAGCAGCTGCCCGCGCTGGGATGTGCATTTTCATGCTGGGATCTGCATTTTGCACATCCTAAGCACCGGCTGCTGCTCTGAAATGCCTCGGTGTAGTCCCCGCTCTTCAAAAAACCTCTGCAACCCGCTTGCAGGCAGTATCTGGTCTTAGGGTGGTGCTGCGGCTGCCAAGGAGAGCCCAGCACCAGGGTTTGACTTTCTTAAGGGGAAGGTTGAAAACGAGACAAGGAAAATGCAACATTTGTGCAAGGCATCTCATCGCCTTCCAGGCAGCTGGTTGTGCTGGCAGCTCCCGTGGAAAGTGCCACATTGACCGATAAAGTGTGGGTCAGCAGAACGCCTCATTTTGCAGCAGGTTCCTCCATAGCCGAGATGAAGTCTCGCTTCGTGGCCATGTCCTCGTGCCCTTTGGCTAGCTGGGAGGGACCATCTCTTGGCACGCTGCATGCAAGGTCGCCTGGGGACAAACCCTGACTGCTCCTGCCTGTGTTTGCTTCCACAGATGGCTAACCCCGTCCCGTCAGCCTGCTGCGTGGTGCTCGCCGCGGTGGTGGTGGTGTACGCCCAGAGACACAGCCAGCAGGGTGAGTCTCTTCACACCTCTCCCACCTTGGGGGTCCCAAAAAATGTGAATGCCGCTCCTCCAGCCTCTCCCCTGGGGCAAGCTGGACGTGCTCTCCAGGCTTGCCTGTTACTGCGTTTCTGGATGTTTATTGCTTTTCTCCTCTCCGTGATGCATGCGTCCCCTCCTGCCCACCGCTGCAGGATGTGGGCGTCCTGTGTCCCCCCAACGCCTGCTGGTCCCCCTTGCCCTGCCCACCCCCCGTGTGTCCCAGGGTGCCCCTGCAGCCAGGGCACTGCTTCCCAGCCCTTTACCCTCCCTTTTCTGCATGCTGCCCTCTGCAACCCACCCTGGAAGGGATGAGCAGCAGCCTGACAGCCCCAAGCCCCAACACCCTACCCCGTGACCGTGATGGGTGCCTCATCCTGCTCTTCCCTCCGTGGGGTGATGTTGTCCCCATTGCCACCACCCGTCTGTGCACACCACTAGCTCCTGCCTCACCACGTTAGCAGAGGGTTTGGCGCTTACCTTAGCAATGGCTTTAGGGAGACGAAATTGTAGAGACACTGGTGATCCTGGGTCCAGGCAGGAGGAGAAGAGTTATGGGGCGGTGGGTTGGGTCCTGCTGTGGGGTCACCTATGGCAGCCCTGCAATAATGGAACAAAAAGGGGATCCTCCAAAACTCACTGGATCCCTGGCAGTCAGCCTGGCTGCTGTTGCTTTTGGTGGATTGTAGAGGATAATTTTGCTGATTAACTCCAGTAAGGACATCTGTGCATCTGTGGGCTCTGTGGGATTGAGGAACCCAGCCAGAGCACCCCGCTGAGCTCCCCTAAATCCAGCTGTGTGGGTTTACAGTGCTGGAAACTGACAGCCTTGCTTGCTCGGACACGAAGCAGCTGGGGTTTGGCAGCATGTCCCCATCGCATGGGGACAGCCACTCTCTGGACACAGAGGGAGCTTGCTGGGTGGTGTTGAAGGAGCATTCCCAAAACCTTCCCAGGGTGCCTGCTCAAAGCATTTGGGTGCTGAGCAGTGTGCTGCTTGTTGTGGTGTGATGCTTTCTGCAGAGAAGCAATGCTGTTTGGTCCTGCTGTGCTTGCAGGACCACTACCTGGGAAGCCTTGAAGAACCCAGTGTCAAGGCTGCCAGAGCATCCTTTGGATGCACTGTGCTGCTTCCCTCCAAGCTGTGGGGACAGTAGCCCAGACCTATCACACAGGGAGATGGACAAAACACCAACATGGCACGTACTTCAGGATTACGCACACTTGAAACTTGTTGTCAAGACAGAGGGACAAACGCTGCTCCCCACCAGCGCACATGCACGTGAAGTTGGGGAGCATCTGCCCCACGTTGGAGACCCAAGAGGTGTGCATCATACCCCCCGCCATCCCCCAGAGCTCACACCCTGCCCCGCTGCAGCCTCCCCTCACTAGCCAGCCCCGGGGCTTATCCCCTGCCATCTGGGTGGTGGGGCCAGGAAAGCACGGTGGGAATGGGGTGGGAGGATGGATTAATCCCACCGGTGGCAGGAACCGGGTGGAGTTGGCGGGGGGAAGACGCTGGCATAGAGTCCATTTATCATGCACTTGAGACACGCTCGACTTTAATAGCTCATGAAGCACTTTAAGAGATGCATTAGCACTGAATACTTGAGTGAGGAGGATGTGACAAGCTGTTAAGTGAGCACGAGCATGGCGCAGCGAGGCCGGCCACCCGCTCCTGGCTCTCACGTGCACCCTGGTGATTACTGGAGCGTCCTGCAAAGTGGCACATGAATTAATAAAAGCAGCGTCGGACTCAGAGGAGGTGAGGCTGCTCGTGCGTTAACCCCTCTGCTGCTCATCTTTGGTCCTTCTTGGAGCTGGCACAACAAAGGGTGCCTTTGCCTGGGATGCAGGAGCCCAGGATGCTCCCCAAGGTGTTTTTTTTTGGGGGGGTGAGGGTTGGAGGCACTCAGAGGTCAGCAGATTTGGGTACCCTCCCTTACTCTGGTTGCAGAGCTCTCTTGCTTTGCATCCATGGCAGTTTGCTAAAGTTACAGCTGCACCACCCTGCTGGGCACCACCGCTTCCAGCTACCCATGGGGGTGGGCACTGTGCGGTGGGAGACCATGGCACTCAGGGCAGCCCCAAGGCGTTGCTTGGAGTATTTCCCTAATGTGCTGGCTTGGGCAGGGGCTTTGGAGTGTCCTGCTGTGGGTATGGGGCAGAGGGGCAGTGAAAGAGGGTGTTAGTGAGGGGTTCTCCCACATCATGGTCCCTTGTGAAACCCTAACCGGGGGGCACAGGGACGGGGCAGAGTGCCTGGCTGTGGGCGGGTGATGCCACATAGCTCCTGGCCAGCACAGAGGGATGGACTGGAGCTGCAAGAATAGATGGGAGGGGACAGAGGAGGCAGAACGGGCTGAAGAACACGCAGTAGAGCCTGGTACCCTCCTCGTTATTGTGGGTAGCTAAGTTTTCCTTCCTGTCTTTCCTCCTCCGGATGGTGGTTGCTGCCGATTTATTTCAGCGTAGAGGAAGGTGATGGGGAAGGCTCAGCAGAGCGCAGAAGCAATGCTGCCTGCTGCAAAGCACACACTGTTGGTTGGCCAGGAGCTCCGTCATGTGAGAGCAGCGCTGGCAGGGGTCCCTGCCATGCAGAGACCCTCTCACTAGCAGGGCTTGGGCACCCTCAAAGGAAGGTGTGAGGCCACAGCACGAGCCGTGGGGCTTTGCCAAAGCTCCTTATGTGGGAAGTTTGTACATGTCGGAGACGCATAACCGCATGTCAGGCCATGAAGCGTACATGCATGGGTGATTTCAGTTCTTTCCGTTCATTGCCGTGACTTCTGTGGCTGAAGTTAGCTGTTTCCAGTAGACCCAAGGGCTACCGCAGCCCTGGGAAGAGTGAGCTCTGCTTCCCCTGGCTCCTGCCACGACCAAAGCGTCTTCCCTATCTGTCGGCGCTGCCAGAGTTATGTCCACATGTGTCCCAGATTGAGATTTCTCTGCTTTTAAAAGAGGAGTAATTCTGCTTTATTGATCCTCACCTTGCTGAATTAACTCATGTTTAAACAATAATTATGTTTTCACCCAGGAGAGGAGACAAAGAGATAAACGTCTCTGGAAATGAATGCATTTCAGATGCCACATGCTGGGGTTAATTTATTGATGGGCGCAGAAGCTGCTATCTCCTCTCTTTCTCACCAGCAACAAGCAATTAGCCCCCATCATTCCTCAACCGAGGAAAAGAAAGAGAGATTTTGTTTCATTACTTTCACTTCTCCCTTGCTCTCTTAAGCCCTGGCGCTAATCTTTTGCAATCGGTTCTGCTGCAAAGCCTCCCGGGAGCTCCAGTTTGCGTGTGCCTCGTTAGAAATGCTGCCCACATTTCAGCTAAGACAAAGACTGGGCCGGTAAACAGCCTTCAAAATGCAGAGCAAAGCCATGCAGATCAGCTTTTTGAAGAGAAACCAACTATAGATATGTCCCTCTCTCCCCTCCCCGCATTGGCCAGTCTTCTCCATGTGGCATTTCTTGGCTGACAGGGATGGGGGTAACTCTTTCTGGACTCTGCTTCCTCCCACATCCACCACCCCGTGCAACTCCCCGTGCTTGGCACAGTTAAACTAGTTGCTCTGCTTTTGGGGGTGTTCTCTGGTACTTTCTGTGTAGGAGGTGGTTTGTAGATTCACGCAGTAACGTGTGGTTTGTTTGTAGACATTTGAGGAGTTTTTGATTGGTGTGCAAATGCTGTTCAGCGAAGGTGCCTGGGTTCAAGTGGTGTGATGGTCTACCTGGGTGTCAAGGCTTGGTCTTGTGCCCACCGGTGTGCAGGGCAGATATGCATTCAACCTAAGACAGCGCTGCAGGAGTAGTCTCTCCAAATATGCATACAGAATGTCTCCTCTCCCTCTCCCTCTCCCTCTTCCTCTTCTTCTCCCCTCCATTGGAGTGCCTTTCAATCATGCATTAAGCGACATGACTAACATCTGTCATGTGTTGTTTGTTTTTCCACCCGCTCCCCAGGGCGAGATGCGTGTGCAACAGAGTGTTTTGGAATTTTTGTAATTGGCACTCTCTGTGTACACTGGGGAAGGCAAGGTCAAAGGGACCGCGTGTGTGTGTGAAGAGGCTGGCCAGGAGGCAGGAGACGGCTCGTGCTTCCCGCAGAGGCTCGTTCCCTGCTCAGGCTGGGGCCAGCGCAGGAAAAAGCTCTGTCTCCTCATGACATAGCACCTTCTCACCTCCCCTGACACCTCCTTGCGTCTCAGGCCAAGTTTTACTCTCGTCACAGCACACTGGCACTTTATCTCTGGGTGGCTCCTGCCAAGGCGTTATCGGTGTTGTCCTCAAGATGCAGCCCTGCTTTCTGTGAGTCTGACCTACATTCCTCCACTGGAGATGAATGGACTTGTGTTTGGCTGCATAAAACACATGTTCTTGCCGAGGGAAGGCTACTATATTAACTGCTCCAGAGCTCTGCGTGCGATGGACGCGTCCTTTCCATTATAAACATCAGCCTTTGTGTCACTGGCAAACTTTGCCAGCAACAGTTTTATGTTGCCTTCAAGATAATTGATACGATGAGTGATTAGCAATGGGCCAAGAACAGATCCCTGTGGGGCCACACTGGGAACACCCTCCTGCAATGATGATTCCCCATTAACAATCATTTCCCCATTAGCAATTACATTTTTTAATCCTTCCTGTTACAACTCTGGATGCTCTCATTATCCAGCTGGCTGAAATACCAGCCTTGCTCCAAACTCCAGCACTGTTCAGTGTGTGAGCTGGTTTCAGAACACTCCAGGACCCCTTTTGGGTTAGGAAGCAAGGTTTGGCATAACCTCTACCTGCCCCTGCATCCCTTACACTTTGCAAGTCATGTCGAAGCCAAAATGCTCTTCAAATGTGCTTCATGGAGAGCTTGGAGAGCCAGAACCAAGGTAACGGTGCTGGATCAATAAACGGATATGTCTTGGCATTGAAAGGATGTTATCAGGGTTTGCTCAGCGCAGTCAAAGTCGGGGG